TCAAGAAAAATTCTTTTATGAAGGGAGGAGCTGTGATAAGGTCGCATAAATCTACGATGAATGATTTCAAATTGCAAATTCAGAGTGCAATATACGTGATGAAATCACGGGACTAAATATAATTATTTAATTGTTATTAAAATAGTATTAAGTTGTAAAAAATAGTTGTTATTAAAATAATATTAAATTCCTGGCACTGTCAAAAACGCAGTCTCAAGAGCCACGTATGGCTCTCGCACGACTGATGTATAAAATTTGATTTTTGAAAAGATAAGTTTTTTCTCTTCGGAATTGTATGTAGCCATATTTTTAGCATTCAATAAATTTTTCTATGCTGTGTTTTGTTTTCAACCTGATGTCACAACCCAGGGTTTGCATAGCGGTTTCGGCCACTACACCACAATGCATTAAATTTTCAATATGCATGAAATTTTCAATCTGCAGCATAATTTCAATATGTATTATAATATCCACGGCAGTAAAAGCTTCAATAGACTGTTCCTGATTTCTACTGTGCTGAAAGTCCATGGCAAACAACAGATTTCGACAAGTTAATATCCATGGCAGTAAAAGCTTCAATAGACTGTTCCTGATTTCCACTGTGCTGAAATTCCATAGCAAACACCGGATTTCTTCAAGTTAATATCCATGGCAGGAAATCTTCCTTGCACAGTTCCAGGATCTACAAAATAGAAATTCCTATGGCTGATTAATGCAGTTTCACTTCTCAGCGATGAGATTTCAATTCACCGAACTTTCAATATGCAATTCTGGTCATTCGTCCAGTTTAAATCAAGTATTTCTGTGATTCTCATCTCGCCAGGCAGTGCCCCTAGAAGTGCCAGCTAAGTGCAAATATTTTTTTAATTCAATAGTTAATGGTTGTCATTCTTTAAATAGTAAACTAAATTCACTTAGTTAACCAATTAGTATTTTAATTAAACCTTTTTATGCTGTTCCAATTCTGATAACTGAGATAATTTTTTTACTGTTGGTAAAGTAATTTATTGAGGACTGTTTAGGGAAATATATATATTTAATTTTAATTGATTTAATTAAAGCGTGCATTTTTTAAGGTTGATAACTTTATACCAGGTGCAATTAATTGATTTCTGAAATTCTCTATTGGAATAAGTTTCCTGTTAAGATGAAAAACAAGGACATGTTCTCAAATTTTACCCGGTCATTCTAATATTATAGTAATTAAAATGTGCAATAATTAAGTATTATTATTTTTTATTTGTTTTGTTTTGCCAATCTGTAACTTTTTCATAAATGCCTATGTTAATATCCAGTGTGGTTTCTCTAGTAAAGTGCTAACTGTTATTTTTTTTTCTTTCTCCCCGGGGAGGGTATGTCTTCTATCATTCAAATTTAATTGATTATGGTAGCCTTTTTAAGGCAATATAATGTTTGACATGTTGGATAAATTTGAAGGAAATTGTGAGGTCTTATTGTTAATTTTTTTTACCTCCTCACTTGTTAAAATTTGAAACTAACTAATGCCATTATTTTTAATAAATAATCATATTTTCTTTGGATCAATTAATGGTATGTTTATTTGATTTGTTTATGTCTTTCACCATTCCACTACAGATTTTGATTTCAGGGTTAATCCGATAAACTTAAACACAATGCAATGAGGTTATTGGAATAGGAGTTAGGTCAGTCAGTTAGAAAAATTCTTTTGTGTTCCTGTGTCTCTTTAAAAGGCACGGAACACCCGCCTACGGATCACCCGCCTAAATCTGAAAAGCTGGTATCGTTCTCTCTGGATACCGCTGTGTGAAATATTAGATTTATGAATCTAGGACCAACAGTAAAATGAAGTTCTGACAATGTTTAACATGCAGCGATAGCAGTTTTTCTTGCAACTTTCCGATATATGAGAGTGTCGATGTTTCAATATGTATACATTTTTGTTTGTATTATTAGAGAGTCTATATACTACTACAAAGATGTGTCTTAGGTTTCGATGATTCCAGTGTATAGCACATCACATTACATGATTATCTTTGATAATATACAGTCAATAAATAATATTAATAAATTATGCATTTATGGCTGAAAAAAAAAGTTCCGTGTTAAAGTGTAAAACGTTCTGGCATATTGAAAGTTCGGTGAAGTTGAAATCTCATCACTGAGAAGAAGTGAAACTGCATTAATCAACCACAGGAATTTCCATTTTGTAGATCCTGGGACTGCGAAAGGAAGTTTTCATGCCGTGGATATTAACCTGAAAAAATCCGGTGTTTGCTATGGAATTTCAGCACAGTGGAAATCAGGAACAGTGTACTGAAGCCTTTACTGCCGTGGATATTAACGAAATCTGTTGTTTGCCATGGAATTTCAGCACAGTGGAAATCAGGAACAGTCTATTGAAGCTTTTACTGCCGTGGATATTATAATGAATATTGAAATTTTGCTGCATATTTCTATCACAAGGGCAAAAGCCCAGTAGATCAGGCGGGAGAAACTCCGCCATTTCACGTTAATTCGGCGTGCAAAGCACGCGACCAAATGAAGTTTACTCCACTCGAAGACCGGCCAAAAAGTGACCTTCTCCCCCGAAACCACCCGTTATGAAGTTATGAGCGGGAACACCGACTTGGCATCACTCACGCCCCGCCAAGGGGAAAACCATTTGCAACACCCATCTTTCCGGCATGCAAAAACCTCCGCCAAAACCAACCGGTTTGGAACTACAACAGATTTTCCATCTCGCCAACCAGCCACACCTAGAAGAGAGGAGAACGTGCGAAACTTAACAACCCTGGACCATGTTCCAGTGAAACTGCACTGAAGAATCCTAAAAGTAAGCGTTTTACCGGAAAAGGGAGATTTCCTCCCCCAGAATAGAAATCACAAAGACCGTTGCAAAAATCCATTAATTAAAGGACCATAACTGAATTTTAATTGAAGTTAGAAAAATAAAAGTAATCTCAAATTAAAGAGCTAATTTTTCTGCAACTATTGATATTAAATTCTACGGGTTTACTTAATTCTTGTCATGAGAAACTGAGTTTATTACGTGAAAATTCACCTATATCCATTGTCTGAGTGTACAAGTTTGAGAACGAAGTGGGCACAAAACGACGCTAGCCAAGCATTTCGTGTAAAATCAAATAACCCAAATTGATTACAATAAACTAATAATAACCAAATAAATTAATAAAACCAAACATGTTTTGTAGCTTAAAATTTAGAATATCGACACTTTAAAATTTTGATTTCTGTGATTAATTTAATTACGTTAAATTTGCTACACAACATATTCCTCCTATGATCAGGGGCAGCCAAAAATTTTAGGACCCACAGACAATGGAAAAGGTTTACATACTGAGAGAAAAAAAAGTTAAGAGAGGAAAAAAAATCATAGTAAGTGTTGGTACAAACACCTGTTAATCGCAAAGAGGGATACATGTACTTATTTACAATTAATCCTACCATTAGTCACGGTTAGCAAAAAATAATCAAGAGTCAGATTCGCACTCGAAATCATACCATAGTTACATGGTTCGCAACAACTATCAAAATCATCTCATTTGAACCCCCCCCCCCGAAAAAAAAATTAGTACACCTAACATTTAACATGAGTGTAAGATTTAAAATTATATATATATGTTAATTTACCTCTTAAGGTTAATTTGTAGGGAACTGATCAGTTTACCTACTTATCATATGCTTGAATATTTTAGAAATTAATAAATGTGTTTGATATATATACTATGTTTCATTTGTTTAGTTTAGTGTGTAATTTACTGTGGTCTGTCATGTCCCTCCATTTGTTTGAGCCTGGAGGCTTTTAAGAAACATGGAGTTTAATTGAATTTGGGGTTATTGATTTTTCTTTTGCATAGGTTACTCACAACGCCAACCGAAAATTTAATTTGTATTGCCACTATACGATTGTTTATTCGATTGATCTTTGATTATTATGAATTAGATTTGTTTTGATTATATTACATTTTTTTAGTTAGTGTGTCCGGCACTATGAGTCAAAGTTAAGTTTTAAAAACTAATAATTTTCAGAGATCTAACACTAGCCGATTAAGATTTTCCTTCTTGATCCCGCATTGCATTCATGCCCTCTAACAACTCTTCTAACAGTTTCAAGATTAATTTTTACTGCAAACCATTTTTCTACATCCATTCTTTTCTAAATTCAAGTTTCACGGCATTAATATTTATTTTTTGATTGATTTTTCCAAGGATACATCTTTGATGCCTTTGCAATGTGGTGTAGACTTCAGTGCATTTTCAGCAGTTCAACGCAGTTATAACATCAAAGATAGTTAAGCACTTTCCATCAAGGATTTTTTGATGATCCAATTACTTTTACAATCTTTAAAATGATGAATAGTTAAATTTCTACCAGAACATTATGTTGTAGCATCTTGCCATGTTTACTTCAGATATGAAATCATAGTATATTCTATTCTACAAAACAAATAATAATTCCTAAATGTAAACAATAATTCTTGTGATACATTTCCATTTAAAACAAAAATTTATGACAAGAAACTTCATCTGCTAAAACATCTTGACAAAAGATTCAGCCGTCCAAATTATTATGCAAATTATCAACTAATATGTCTTGATTAAATTATTTTATTACAAGGAATATCTTAATGACATTTATTTTGTAACAAGCAAGGCTTAAAATAGAGAAAAAATAATATATTAGAAAAGAATTTGGAATCTATGTTTCAATGTTTAGTACAATATCTAAATAAATTTCAAAATTAGAAGTGTCCAAAAAGGGATCCGAGCCACTGTAGCCACTGATGCTTAGCACCTGTTAAATGAAAAGTGGGAGTACTAATCATCTCACTGTCACATGAACCGGAATTGTTTACATGATATAGAAACAGGAATGTCATGATATTGAATTTAAATATACATAAACAAATCACAAACTCGAAAGATAAGAAAATTAGGTCAATATTTTTTGGTACAAATCATATTAAGCAATAATCTTTAGGAGAAAGTTCACTTACTTGAAACAAAGATGCAAAAAACACAGCCGTACCAATGTAAACATAGTACAGAGAAAACGTACTCATTTGACTCTCAAAACGTTCAGGCGAAATATTGTCAAAGGCATTTTCAAGTAGATTTGGCACTATAAAGTATTAAACAACTGTATTAAACATAAATTATAAAATACTTTGATTTAACTTAGCTTCAATATAGATAATTATAAATACCAAATTTTAAAAAGTAAAATTTACCTTTACTTAAGAATACAGATTTATTTTCTTGTGATTGTAATGTTACATTTTTCAAAGAAGACTGTGTAAGAAACTCATTTGTCATAGCTCCAAAGACAATAGCAAGTAAAGGCCATCCAGCTCCATTTATAATGGCAAAAAATGATCCAGTACACATAAGAAATGTGTCCAATTTTTTGGCATAATGAAACTAAATATATAAAAGAAGGAACATATAAGCACATAATTTTATATTCCATTGAAAGACACATGTGAATACAAGAGCCCTGCAAATGCAATAAAATACTGCTGTTAATCTAACCTACAGTCTCTGCTGACATTTACGTTGTAATATATATTACAAGTACCCTAAAATATTATTAAAATGGTACTTCCATATTAAAATGCTCATTTCAATCAGTCATCAAAATCAGAATATTAGTCACTATAAATGGCAGACTTAATCACCAGATCTTTAACATGCAACATGTTGCTTTAAAATGTTACAATTTTTAATTTGTAATCAGCTAGAAAAGAAACTAATTTTGTTGCAATAGTTATAATGTGCAACATATTTGATTTTCATGGTCACTTTAGATCACGGATACTGTTGCTCTGTTACATTTTCACCTTCTAAAATACTGATCATTTTTAACTTTATATCAAGTGGAAAATATCAGGTTATAACGAAAGTTTCCTGCAACCGCAAATATCGTCTGTGCAAACAATTCATGTTGGCGTGTTTAATCATATTTTGTCAAATGATTTTTGGCATTTGAAAGAAAGAGACTTGCTTTAAAACACTATGTTGTGAAATTTGTAAAAAAATATTGTTAATTTTAAGTACAAGGTGTCTGAAATGGAGCTATAATGCTACTAGATTAGAACCATCATTTACTTCCAGTTCTGTTGCAAAAAGTCAGCTACAAAATGTCACCAAATCACGTATACAGCTTTAGGTACTAATGCTGTATCATTTGACACTGTGAAGGTTTAGTCCAAAAGTTCAAAAATAAGGACTATAACATTAAGAAGCAGAGTGCTCTGCCTGGTCTACTGATGTTGATGAAGACTGCCTGCAAGAACTTGTGGAAGAAGATCAATATGCAACCACTCAAGAGATTGCTAAGGAGTTAGCCGTTAGTGCCATGTCCATTAGTTGCATTATTCATCGCATAAACTTGACGTACAAGTTCAATTGCTGGGTGTTACATGAGCTGACTCAAGCACATAAGGAAAGACGTATTTGGGCCGGCACTAATCTGCTTGAATATCAGTGCAAGGCCAAAATTCTGGACCGGATCATCACTTCTCATGAAAAGTGGATTTACTTCAACAACTCAGGCTGAAAAGAGGGTTGGTCTGCCCCTGGTAAGCCCATTGGCAGAGTCACAAAGAGCAATTTAACTAACAAAAAGATCATGCTTTATATTTGGTGGGATTGCAGTGGTATTATTCACAAAGAGTACCTGCAAAAAGGTAAAATCCTCGACAGTAAGGTGTACAGCAAGATTCTAGTCCCTGTTGAAGCTGCTATTAAGGAAAAACGTTGAACTGAGTTCCGGCGCAAACAGGTAATGCTCCATCAAGATAATGCACGACTCACATGTGTCTGCATTCATGGGCTGAACTCTATACAGACTCGAATGTGATCTTTTGCCACAACCACCATATAGCCCCGACATCACCTCTTCGGACTTCTACCTTTTTCACACCTGTACGCTAAATCTTGCTGGTGCTATCTTTTTTCCTGCTCAGAATGCCCGAAATTAGGTTGACCTGTTTTTTGCCTCATGGCCACCAAGTTTCTGGGCGGAAGGCTTTGAAAATCTACCAAAACGTTGGCAGAAAATCATAGATTTGGGTGGTGATTACTACCTGCACTAAACATACTGCTTTCATTTTTTCTTCTGACTTTATAAAGAATATTTTTTGGTGGAAGACTTTCGTTACACCCAGATAAATAAGCAGTAATTTCTTCGTGATATCATTCCTTCTTTGGTATTCACCATTTTATTTTCAATTAAAGTATCGGAATTTAAAGTATTGGTTAATTTAGTTTTTATTTCAATTTTAACTTTTATTCTGTTTCAGGCTTCTTTAATTAAAAACGGTTTGAATATAAGTGATATAAAAGTGCATATTCCACAGACATCCTTTAATTATCTCTGCTTTTCTTGTATCAGCTCAGCAAGGTGTATTTCTCATATGGGTATTTCTAATATCTTAGAAGAGGGGTTCCCAAACTTATGCCCGCAGGCACCATTACACCCCCCGATTATTTAATGTTTGCCCACCACTGCGCGATCACAATAAAATTCTATGTGAAAGTTTGACTAACAAAAAGATCATGCTTTATATTTTCTCATTTTTAATGACACAGGAATTGCATCCAACACAGATACCAGCACAAAGCGAAATGTGACTGATTTCTTATGTGTATGTAGTATTAACTCTATCCAACTATACGTTCACCTTGTAAAAGTAAATGATGCCCGCTGTCCATTATATATTCTAGAATGTGCTCTTGGTTGAAAACCCTTGCCTTAGAATATATGTCTAAATGCTTTTTTATGCATAAATTATTATAATACATCTTATCAGATCATAAGTTTCATATATATAAATATGATATTTAATATATACAGTAAATACAGAAGGAAGAACTAATAGAACTTAAAGGAATAATTAAAGGAATCCAAAATTTATACTCTGATTTAGAAACATAAAAAACGCATTATTAAGAATACCTTATTAATGGAATTAAGCAGTAAAATTAGAAATAAGCGTTTACTTTAAATATAAATGGAAAATTACACATATTTAAAATAAAAATGAAAAATTACACATATTTAAAATAAAAATGAAAAATTCTACATATAATCCTGGAAATTTAAAAATCACCCAAGCATTAATGGTGTCTAAGTGCTTTGTAAAATTTTAGAACCATACGAATAATTTTTTATTTTTATTTGGAATATGTAAACTTGGGCCATATAAAAATGACAGTAAAAATCATTTCCTTTGTAAGGTTCTGTGCTGTGTACTTTTAAGTTACAGTGGAAGAATCTTAAGAACTGATCAGCGAATAATCTCTTGAGTTCATGAGAACAACACGTAAGAAGGGTGAAATTACCCTTTATTACTCCAATAAAGTTTAACAGAACTCCGTCTTGGAGTTTTAGAATAAAGCCGCCACTCGGGCTTGAACTTAGGAAACTAAAACTTAACTAAAAAGATATAGCCGAAAGTATCAACTAACAACTTCATTGATTTAAAGTACTTATTTATTTAATTAATAAGTTAAAAATTTTAATTTTTAGCTAAAATTCATTTTTAAGATATTAAAAATTCTGAAGTAAAAGTAGTTTTTATGAATGTTTTTATACCATGGTAGTATTTAGGATTTGAGTATCCCTGCACCCGGAAGTGCCGTCGACCTTCAAATGTACTTGGATGTAGTAGTAGGCGGTAATGTAGGCGAGACTGTTTGTCATATACTATGTTTTTCTAAAATAGTGCGTTAAATGAAGGATGAGAGGCTTGTAAAAAAAAAAAAAAAAGGGGGAAATGATTTAATTAAAATTCACGAGTCGAATGTAATATGCGCATTTGAAAGGGTTGATTTCAGTTGAGTGGGCTGGGATAATATTCTGCATTGCTAAATTAGGAACGAGATGGTCGCTTTTCCTTGAGAAAGGTTAGATCAAGGTTAAGATTTTGAGGGGGAGGTGAAAGTAGTATTTGATGAAATACGTGTTTTGAAAGCGTAAACATCCTGTAAGCGCACAAGGCGAGACTTGTGAAACTTTCACTTGATCATTACATTTCGAAGCGGTGAGGTTGGTGCTATCATCCTCCATAAGGATTACAATGGAAGCTCGTAATGGTGAGTGAAACGTAAGGTTTTTTTTTTTTTTTTTTTTTGTGTGTGTGTTATTGTTCTTTTATTGTTAAATACTTTCTGCGATAAATGTTAAGCATAAAATTATAATTAAAATTAGTTTATTTTAGAACGCAAACGTAGATGTGTTGACACGTTGGGGGATGTGCAGCCGTCGGAAGATCTTATTTTAAACCTCGCTCCCGAGGAAGGCGAAACCTCCCGCAAAAAACTCAAAAAAATTAAAATATACATTGGAAAAAATGTTTCAATAGAAACTTGTGACTTCAAAAATGTCAATTATGTTTCATTTGTAAGGGTGTATCCCGAAACCGCCGCCACCCCAAAAGATTTAATATAAATATGAATTGTATTGATCGTATAATCGAAGCTTTGGGGGTGATTAAGAGTCACTGTATGTAAAATTAAAAAAAAAAAAAGATATCAAAATGCTGAATTTTGCTGGAAAGCGGTAGTGGAAGTTAGTAAATTAATATGAATTTTATATAATATTGTAAACAAAAAAGTTCCATTATTTATTTATTATTTTTTTCAAATGATGAATTTTATTCAGTTAGCGCAAGCCCACCGAGGCTATTTGCGCACTTTAAGAACAACATTCGATGCTTCTCAGAAAGATCCGTATGAGATATTCAGAACGGCACGCCCTGCCATATACAACATTTTAAATACTAGATCGAGTTTAAGACTCAGGATTTTAATATGTTTGAAAATATGTTTTGAGAAACTGGGGAAAGATGAAAAAGAAATTAATCAGTGTTTTTATTTTTGTTCTCATTGCGAAAGGATTTTATCCTCTAACCAAATCTACGAAAGCATTGACAGATGCTTTAAAAAGATTTTAAATTTGATAGATAATTTTGTGCGTAATGGAAGCGGGTGGAAAATAAAAAAGTTAGAGTACCTTGACTTACACGTTGGAAACTATCGGGAAAATCGCGGTGGTTGTAAAAACATCGCTTTACCGACGGGATTAAAAAATAGAAAAGCGTTGTTAAATATCAAATGTGGTGACGACAATTGTTTTTTATATTCTGTTGCCGCAAGTGTTTTTCCGAAATCCACTAGAAATCCTCAGAAGGCTTACTTGTATAAAAAGGATATATCACGTTTTAAATTAGGATCCCTCAAATTTCCCTTAGCGTTAGGCGATGTAAAAATGTTTGAAAACCTGAACGATGTATCCATAAACGTGTATGGATATGAGGAAAATGAAATATTACCTTTGCAATTAAGTGAAAAGCGAAATGCGACAAAAACAGTAGATTTGCTATATTTTCAAAAACATTTCTTTTGTATTCGAAATTTTAATCGTCTATTACACGCAAACGAAAAACGAGTAAATTTTTTTTGTAAAACTTGTTTAAGTGGGTTTCAGAGAAGGGAAACGTTAGAGTATCACAAAACTCTTTGCAATGAAAACAAACCGCAGAAAGT